GAAGGGAGGATTCATAGAAATGACAGCAAAATGTCCTGAAGACAAAGTTTGAACAAAATGTTACAGGAAACAGGAAAATGGAGGCGTGAAAAAAAAAGAGGATTGGGAAGATAAGAATGCATGGAGCAGCTATTGTTGAGAGATGAGTTAGGATTTGCATCCTGAATACAATGCTTTCATACTCAGGAATAGATGGGCATACAGGAGGTGTCTGAAGCAACTTTGTGGAACTAGCACAAAAGAGCTTTGTGCAAAGGATTTCCACTGGGAGGGAGCATTAATACCACTGGGGTGTGGCAAGGACGACAGAATCATAGAATAGCTTTGGTTGGGATCTGGTTCAACCCCCTGCTCAGAGTAGGGAATGAAAATAATACATAGATGAAAATTCCCTTGCACCTTCACAGATATGAAGTTAAGGCTACAATGCCAGAGATGCATACCCAAAGTCAAACCTTCCCTTGGTTCTCTATGGTTGATGTTCCCCTCTGGAAGCAATGCTCATTTTACAGATTACTGGAATTGCTACTAGAACTGCTCTGGCTTCTTTGCTACGAAGCACAGAGGGGTTTTTTTTGCATATCAAAAGCAGGCAAAGGACACACATGACAATCAGCCCGTGGCTTGCTCTAAACACACATGCACATCTGATGCACAGTTGATGCCAGCACAAAACAAAGATAGGAAAAATATTTCTCATGCAAACGGGGTTGGTGGTTAATCAAGTGAATCGTACCTTTTAGAGAGGTATCCTAGCAACTCCCCAGCAGCCACAAGTCCCGGCTGACAGTGCACACTGATGCAATTGTTCTCCTCCTGCAGACATCAAAACTTTGCAGCTAATCAAAAAGATAATTCGAAACAGGAGACCACGTTAAATTTGATCCAACAAAAGGGAATTTTATAAATGAGCAATGTCACCCCGGGCATCTCTTATGCTTCAAGTTGTCATCTCGGAACAAGAGTAGGTCAGGCTCAGCGAAGCCATGCAATGCTGGGAACAAAACCTCCCTTCCTGCAATTGGCAGCATGATTCTGCTGAAAGCACTCACTTCTGCCACGTTGAGTTTTGCTGGTCTCCACTTCAGAGCACTATGCAGACTTTATCACGATTTTCTTGAACAGCAAAGGCTCACCCAAAGCACTCTCTAGAGCACAGGTATCAGCAAAAAGCCCTGCTGATATTCTTGTAGCCACCTGTCCCAAGATGTTTCCATGAACAAATTCCTACTTCTAACATGCCAGATTAGATATCCTTTCACATCTCCTGACAGTTCAAATAGGCTCAGGGCTGGCTGGATTAGACCTTCTGTCCCGGGACCAGCAACAAACCTCAGGCTACCAAGTAGCCTAAGCTCATCCTCTCCAAGTGTCCCCATTTTGGAAGCATTATAGATTTGCAATTCATCTCTTCAGGCATGGATGCAATAGGCAAAGCAAAGTCACAGGCATAGCATTTGCTAGGGTTCTCAAAAATCACTTTTTTTCCCCCCTCACTGTTTAGGTAGCCCATAAATACCACAGATCTCAGAAAATTCAATATATTTAAGTGTTCCATGTTCACACATCCCTCAGTTAACTCTTCTTACCACTGTAGTGTTCTTCAGGCTCCAGTTCAGAGTTGTGAAGGGCATTCCCAGTTTCTTTCCAACAGTTCATGTCTCTTCTGAATTACAGATCTAATACACTCCCTCCATTCTCCACAATTTACCTCCTCTCCTCAAGAGAAAAATCTTCATCCATAAAACTTCCTGTTTTCTCTGTCAGGTGACACATGACCACCCTCATCAGAAGCTCCTCAGATACCTTTGTTTGATGACACTCTCCTGGGCATCAGAACTGGAGAACCAGTTTTTCCCGAGAGAGTAATAATCTCCCTAGCATTCCACTAAAGCTGTTAATCAAACTTTAATCATCTTTTCTTGTCAGAATAGAGGAATTTCTCCCATCACTTTTGGTGGTTCAGAAGGAAAGCAAAACACAATAGATGTAACAGCCACATGGTTCTGATCATCTGACAAACACAACCTACAACTGGACATAAACATCAAATCATACACAAATCATCAGCAAAGCATTTACCACCTACTTTTTACTGGAAAAGATGGATTTATTTTTTTTGCAGTCAATATCAGACCACCCAGCTACAGTAGCTGACACGACTACAGGGAATCAATGTGCCCAGTTGCAAGGTCATTTAAGACCTTGCAAAAGTTCCTTCCAATGAGTATAGAACTGTTGCTCAACAGCAGAAACATTGCTTACAGATGTTAGAAGGACCCCAAGGTTTCTCTCCACGAGCAGAAGATTCCATCTCAAAGCACTGACTTACACATTTTACCTGTAATGGCATTTGTATACCAGTAACTCTAAAACTAGAAATTGCAGCAAGAAAAGAGAATAAGCTGTAGAGATGAACAGCAACAAGTGGAAAAGGGAAACTATTTCTGTGATACTGTTCCCAGCAGATCAATTTATTTTCACCTTCCTAATGCAGATATCCCTTCTCTTTTTGTGTGAGTCACTGCAGTATTTGCTTCAGGAAGAGTCTGGTAATGGGATGTGAACACTTAGGAACTTAAAAAAGAGCTGATAGTATAAAACAGCTGAGAAACTATACATTTGTAATTGAAACAGCAAGGCACATCAGTTCAGCCTGCTAGTTAGAATTTGCCAGATGTTAATGGTTGACTTACAAAGAAACAAACACCAACCCTCACCTCCACACACCACATGAACCTTAATTACTGCAGTAGCTACATCATTGTTTTATGCCTCAGAATGCTCAACCACAGGAAAGAAAAATAAACAACCCATCCCAACAGCATCTTCAGGAGCCAAGTGCCTTCTTCTAGAAGGGCAGTAGTCACCCACAAGTAGGACAAGAAGACAAATAACCACCCACTCACAAACACATACAGTGTTTACCCACAGACTTCTCCCACCTCTTACACCACAGTATTCCTCCCAAGAAGTCATTGCAGAAGAGTGACACAGTTAAATTCACTGCTGTTGGTCACAATTGTGATATTCTGACCCTCTGCAAGCAAAATCAGCCAGACAAATTCTTTAACACTACAAGGCATGTAACTGGGCTGTAACCAAGCAGGTGAACATGAGCTACTCTGCACTACCAAGTGCCTAGGGAGAACAGTTCTGTACTGGGTCTGGATCTGTGACCAATCTTCTTTCTGAATGGGGCAGCAAATAAAGTTACTGCACGATGCAGACACCAGCCTTTCTCTCCAGAAGAGCCATTGTGCTCAGAGCATCTTGAAATCATGAGAATCCTTGTCTGCATTTTAGCATGTTTTGCATCAGGCTGATAGGGAGCACAGCAGAGAGGCATTTCAAAATCTGTTGTTCTAGTAAGGAATGACCTTCAGGTTATTTTCTGGAAGGCTTCTGCTAAATCCCTCATTGCCTACCTTTTTAATTTGTATACAAGCACTAACCACTAGATAACACCACTACCAACTCCCCTCCAGTATCACTAACAGATATAAAAAGTCAGAACTTAGTGTTAAAGATGATCTACACACACAAATTTTACACAACTCATTTAATAAAACGATTTTGTTAAAAAATTACTTAGTAATGTTTGGAATTTAACATAGAAAATTCAGAAATTACAAAAAATGTCATTGTATAATAAATGTAATTTGAATATACAAGAAAAGTTAGACAAGTTTGGTAGTAAGGGGCACAGAAAACTTATGCAAAAGAGAGATAAATTGTTCCTGAGTTAATTGTGTTCCTGTTGATGTTCTTGTGAGATAACATGACAGCAGCAGAGAGACTTTGTGCTATGTATGTCTCTTCCATCCATTTATGACTGATGTTACATGTGCCTTCTCCTGGCACAGTGAAGAGGCTCTCCAAACGCCTGAGAAAGAAAATATGTGAGGCCTAAAAGAAGCATTCCAAATGGAAAGCAGTGTACTGTGAGCAGTCTACAGGCAAAAATAACTCAACACTTCCTATGCTGGCTAGCCAGACATGCTGTCTAGTACCTGCCCCAAATGCCAGGGCTGCCACCTAAAAGCTTGCTGCCTTTCTTAGCTAATTTTCATTCTTCAATAAATAATAATGCTCCCTCATAGGGATAATTTTAGTTAATATAGCGCTGCACAAGCCTCAAAAATGTAGAGAATGGGGGCAAGAGAGAGAGGGTGAGAGCAACCAAAGTGAAAGAAAACGAGAGAGAGAACGAGAAAACGAGAGAGAGAACGAGAAAACGAGAGAGAGAACGAGAAAACGAGAGAGAGAACGAGAAAACGAGAGAGAGAACGAGAAAACGAGAGAGAGAACGAGAAAACGAGAGAGAGAACGAGAAAACGAGAGAGAGAACGAGAAAACGAGAGAGAGAACGAGAAAACGAGAGAGAGAACGAGAAAACGAGAGAGAGAACGAGAAAACGAGAGAGAGAACAAGATATGGATGAGGGGCAGGAGAGTGAGGGCACAAGAGAGCAAGAGAGGGAACATGAAGGGTGTGAGAGTGTAGCGAAGGGCACAAGTGGGTGTGAGCCTTGGCAAGTCCTTCCATTCCTGTGACATCCCTCCCAGCTCTGTGCCACCGAGCCTCTGGGACCCTGAGCCACAGCTGCACGAGACCCATGGTGCCACACAGCAACAGGGACAGGCAGAGAGAGCCCAGGCTGGGGCAAGAGTGTCTGCTCTGCCTGACTGAAGGGGCAGCCAGCACCTCTCTCATCTATCCAGTCTCTCAGGACACCTCCCTTACCTTTCTGCCCAAAGAGACACTGCCACATCTCCAACATCTCTGCCTGGATATTACATTTCAGAAGAAATTTCCTGCACATAGGTTAGGCTGCTCTGCCAAAGTGCATCTCTCCTCTACACAGATACCCATTTATGCAAATTACTCCTTCATAAGGCTTTACAATATATATGAAATGTTTCAAATCTGTGTCTAATAAATACTACATGAAAATAGTTCTTCAGCATTTACATATGAAACATATAAAAATAGGATCACTATAAGACTACTTCTTCGATTTCATCTTCTAAAGAACCAAGGGTTTTCACTCCTGGCTTGCTTGTAGTGTACTGCAAATGGTGCCTGCTTAGGTTCCTTCCTTCACCAAGAAGGTCATCATGTTCTTTGACTTTACTGTTTTTATCCACAAGAAGAGTATTACTAGAGTCCCAAACTATGTCAAATTGTGGTGTATTGTTATTTTTAGACAGAACAACAGTACCGGCACTGCTTCCAAAGAGTTGTTCCATTAAATTTGACTTCTTTTCTTTCTTACTATCAAAATCTCCATTTTTCTCAACATTTTCTTCCAACTTCTCACTTTTTTGAGTAAGCCAACTTGGTCTCCCTGATCCTTTCCCAAAGGAAGGTACGTAACTACCAAATGTTAAGTCACTATTTAAATCTACAGTCCTTACACTTCGTTGCTTCTGCCCTTGTGCTCTTGTGGCATCATCCTGGCTGTCCTTTACAGGAAATCCATCAGTAGCCTTCCCAAAAATCTCAAAGAATGGATTATTTTTTTCTTTTTTCTCCAGGGAGTCAGATTTTCTTGCTGTATTTATGAGTGGTGCTTGGGAAGTCAATTTCATGTTTGCTGTATTTTGAATCTCTCTATCAATTTCTTGCATTTTAGCAAGCAGCAGCTCTCTTTTCTGCCTCTCTTCCAGCGTTTCGGTGCTTTCTCTCTCCACTTCAGGTTTGTGGATTTCTGTCTCCATCTTTATTTTCTCTTCCTTATCCAATAAAAAGTTGCTTTCTTTTCTCAGTTTGTCATAGTCTTTCCTTTCCCATTCTGCGAAAAATGTTTAAACAATAGTGAAAATGTTTTAGCTTTAAAATGCCCTTCAAAGATTTGGCAAATAATGCAAACAAAAGCCACTGAGTTTTTAACATGCTCTTCCATGCATCATGTGGTTTTCCTACTGCAAAAATAAATTCTTCAAAAATTACAACTAACTCCACTCCAGGTTCTCAGCTAAGATATAAAAGATCATTGTCATCTTGCAAAGGCATTAGGACATTATCCACGTTTTAGAATTTCCAGAGCAATTTAATTTCTGCCATTTGTCTTCCCATTTCCTGGGACTGAATGAAAATGAATACAACATCACTGATTTTAATAGTTCTGACTTGCACAGTATTTTATTTTTGTCAGCACCACTGACATTAGCACAGTTCTCGGATATATGTTTGGGATTTGGTTTTTCTCCATAAAGGGAACCACTCCTGTGGAGCCATCAGGCCTCAAAGTCATAGGACTCATCACCTGTTTCAAGTAGTGAATGATTTCAAATATTCTGCATCTGCTGTATAGAGAAAACACCTTTACACAGGTGTTCTGTGCATCACCATGTGAGCTCAGTGAGGGTGACTGTGCAAATATCCCATGTCAGTTTGCACAGCTATGAAGAGAGCAAAGGTAGAAACCAGTAACAAACTTCTAGACAGAACCATCAAAGGTTTATGTGTAGAAGGAAAAGGAAGCCTCTTGAATATTTCTCTCCTCAAAATATTTGTCTATCAAGATAACAGAAGTGTTATTTGGCCAAAAGTTGAATATGCCTACTTGGCCCCTTTGAACACATTGCTCAAATTTCTGACTTACACGTTCACAAAATTCCATGCTATGTACAATACTTCAGCTCGAGCTTTCAGAAATAACTGCAGCAGTTCAGTCAATATATTTAACACAGACATTTTTTCAATAACGTATCATTCTATCAAGTGAAGGAGCAACCTTCCAGCCTGTAAGGTGGGGAAAGCTGCAGCTGACACCGTGCGATGGCTAAGGTGGTGAAATCATCTTATTCAGAAACATATCAGAGCAGATTCTTGGCTTACATAAGTTGTGCACTGATGCCACTGGAGGTAAAAGATTTTTCACAGACTTTGCCTCTGAAAGTAGCTATAGATTTTTAGAATTCTTGTCACCTAGAATAAGTGTTACTGTTCATTAACTACAATCACTGAAGAGTTCGTTAACATGACAGGGTGCAGTCCACCTAAAATACTCGAGACTGACTTAGGAAGCTAAGTCATTAAGATGCTGTGAAAACCAAATGCATAATAAAGCAATATTAAACTGTAATGATAGAAACTGAAATTTCTCAAAGAGCCACACCAAATGATTCAGATAGCCACACCTGAAAGGAGAAACTACAATTTTAAATGATCTAAGTGAGGCTGATACCTACTGAAACAACAGGCTGTAGTAAGGAAAGCAGATTTCTTCTACAATAGTAAAAATCTCCTGCCTACCCCAGTAACATTTAGCAAGTCAGAGATAACATCAGCATTTACCTGCTATGTCATTCTCATTTTGTAAAGCAAAATCTCTCAGGCTCCAATGCTTTTTTTGTGGACAGCATTTTTTGCTGCTGCATACTTAATCACAGCCGAGGACAGGGCACAGATTATTCTATAGCCTCTATTTTTTTTTTCTCTGATTCTTTTTTGCATAATATAACTGAAAATAATTTTCCACTGTAGTGATCTCTGCAAAATCATTTTGCTCTTCTCACCAGAAACCAGCAGCCTCACTTGATTAGTATTCTATGGTGCATTTTTCAGCCTTCAGCTGCCTGTTTCCTTACCGTCATGAAGTTTTGGAAGCCTCTCCTCTGCAGCCTGCATTTCCTGAAAACCTTCCAGTTTCTCTTCCCTTGCCCTGTCTTGGTCTTCTCTTAGGACCTCTGCTTGCTCTTTCCATCCTTTTTCTTGTGTTTCTTTTTCCTGGAATAAATTAATACAAAACTGAAACTGATGGGGAAAAACAGTCAATGAAAGAAATGGACAAACAGAACCATATTAACTTCTATGTCATTCTGAAATCACATTTTACTGCTAAACATAAAAATGAGCAAGTCACCTTAAACCAAAACAGCTTTGACAACACAGGGTTTGGCCTTAAAATATTATCACCTCTTGCATAGTTTTATACACCAGAAACGAAACGAACAGACAATCAACTCTACTTTGTATTACACATTTCAGGAAAGTTGCAGCTCCAATGTCATAAAGCAAAATTATCACTGTTAGGGTAGTTCTCTTCAGAAGTCAGAAATTGCCTTCATGTACTTTAACAGAAGGCCAGAAGCCACTACCTTGTTCTTTTAACAAGCAAGCAGTTAGTTACCCTCTATTTCCACAATCTGATCCTTTTACTCAAGCCAGTGGGTTGTGGATTCAGATAGTTTCATGGTGGTACTTAAATTTATGGAGTATGAAGTAACAAACAGCAAAAGAGAAAGGTTTAATCTTGGCTGACAAATAGTCCTAGCTTTATATAATCAGAATGTGTACAATTTGTACCAGAATCTGTGTCATTCTAATTTGTAAAACATTACAAATCTCTTTGATTTTAGCCTGAGGTCACAAAAGTATTAGCAATACTTGTAATGGTACTGTTTTATAATAAAAAGGGAAATGGAAAACCAAAGAACTCCAAGCACATGGACAAAGCTGGAAAACCAGAAGAAATACCATCACTGTGACAATAAGAGGAAGTGTTAGATTTATACTCTGGAGAGTAAAAGAATCCATAATTAAACCCAAAGAGGAGAGAGAAGGCAGCCATCACTGCTCATCAGATTGCTCAAACAAGCATTAGAAACAAAGAAAAGGGGAGAGAAACAAAATGAAGTCTCAAAAGCTTCAAAAAATGACAGTGACAGAAAAAGAAACAAATTGAGCTAATGGCTATTAGTAAGACACACAAGATGATAAACTGTCACAAAAACGGAGTACGATATTTCTAGAAGGGTAATTTTCTCTTAAAGAACAGAATATTTTCTAAATTATGTTTTCTATATATTTATATTTGCATATTTACACATTTTCTAAAATATAAGCTCTGTATTAAATAGTCTGATAGGTGAATTATCTGGAGCTGGTCTCAATTTTTTATGGAACTTACTATTTTAGGAAGAATTACTTCTTTCCTGTTTACTGTGTCACTACAGGCAAGTTCTGCTGCTGGAAGTTTTGCTGGCGAGAAGTTCCCACTGGTTTGTACACCTTTTGTGAGCTGTGCTCCTTTTTTAATATTTTGGTTGTTGCCTGCAGAAAACACAAACTAATTGAATTGTGGTTTTGCTTTAAATATCCCACTATATTATTGCCTCTCATTTTTAATGATTTGCAGCAATCATAAGAGACTATGTTGAAGTCAGTAGAAGTAGAAAGTATTGACAAGTTTCACAGTTTGTTTTCAGCATCTGTAAAGGCTAATTATAAAAAAAGTGCATGCAAAAACTCTAATTAAAAAACCACCTTAAAGCTACTTACAGTGTCATTATGTATACTGAATATTTGCTAGAAAACCCCCCCAAATATCTCACTTATCTTACTGCTTGTCACAGAAGCAAACTCATAAAATTCACTTATTTGCACCTTTGAAACACAACACCCTTATCTCTGTGGAATGGCATTTTTAAAAAATCTGAACCTACAGTGGAATAATAGCAGAGCATCTATAATAAAATGAGCAGCAGACAAACTGCTTGAAAAACTGGCATTAAATATTTAAAACAGACCCATAAACTTCTGCTTCTTCTGACAAGTAGATTCTACTGATCCAGTGAAAATAGTCTAAGTACACACATAGACACACACATATTTATCTGGGTAGCATAAGCTTTGAGGCTGTCTTGTCACACTAGAAGAAATCACTGCACTGATACTTTTAGAAGATTAAGTTCTGGGACATATGTACTCTTTGAGGAAAAAAAGGAGTGCAGCTCTTCTGACAGACAGTAAATTCGGATTAGTAAAAAAGAAATAAAACAGATCACCAAAATACTCACGGCAGTTAAATTACATATTTTTAAAGCCTCTGTAATTAATTGCCAAGTAGACATTACTTATGATCTATTAGAGATTTTACTAACAACCTTCCCCTCCTCCTTTACCCAGGAACATGTGGTGTGAAAGGAGTTCAGAATGCTGTTTGGTGAAGTTCTGGGTTCTGGTTCTGCTGCAGTTACAGAACAGTCCAACAACCAATGTGCTCTTCTTTGTGACCAGTGCTGTGCTAAAATCAGTGCAAAACTGTGAACATTCTTCAACAAGCAGCAGCAGGTCAAACACTGACTGGCACAAAAGGTATAGCCAAGCTGAGTCATTTCAAAGTGGCAGTAGTAATTTTTCTGCCTTTATTGCTTTACACAAGTTACCTCTTTTCCTCTGTAGGATATTCATGTCTTTCCTTGGTGATGGCTTCAACATACGATTAGCATATATATTTTTTGCGTCAAGTTCTCTTTCTTTTTCCTGTGAATAAAAGAAGTAAGAGCAACAATGAGTTACTAATATTTCATTTGCTAGTCACTAGCAAAGCTGTAAATTAAATTAAAAATACATATTGTAAATAGAAACAGAGTAATCATAGAATCAACCTGGTTGGAACAGACCTCCAAGATCACCGAGTCCAACCCTACCATGGTTACTAGACCATGGCACTAAGTGCCACATTCAGTCTCAGCTTGAAAACCTCCAGGGATGGTGAATCCACCACCTCCCTGGCCAGCACACTCCAGTACCTGATCACTTCCTCTGTAAAACATCTCTTCCTAATATCCAACCTAACCCTCCCCTGGCACAGCTTGAGTCTGTGCCCTCTTGTCCTCCTGCTGGTTACCTGGGAGAAGAGACCAACCCCCACCTGACTCCAACCTCCTGTCAGGGAGTTGCAGAGGGTGATAAGGTCTCCCCTGAGCCTCCTCTTCTCCAGGCTGAACACCTCCAGCTCCCTCAGCCTCTCCTCATGGCACTTGTGCTCCAGTCCCTTCACCAGCCTCGTTGCTCTTCTCTGGACCCATTCAATGTTTTAAAGATAACAATTACATTCCTAACTTTGTTTAAGCTACAAGAAAACAGAACTTTCTCCCCCAAAAAACTCATTAGCAAAATATTATGGGGGAAAAAATGCCTCTCTGCAGAGAAAATAAAACCAAATACCAATACTTCCATAAATACAAATTCTTACAACATGTGTATAAATAGCACACCTGAATTTAAGTTTTTGTAGAGAGTTAAACATTTCAATGCAAGCAATGATAGTTGTCATAGAGCATGTCAGTATCAGGGAGCAGAGACTACTGCATCCCAGAGTTAGAGACAAACTCTTCTTTTAGCACATTTATTGACTAAAATACAGAAATGAACAGTGAGTTATTAGAAATCAGCTGATAATGAAAATATTTTCAAAATATTAAACTCTTTACTAACAAATCAGGCTTAAAACACTTGCTCTAAACGAGTAAGTTTCAGAGGTACTAACACTACTGCTACTTACTCAATACCTAGGCAGGTGGTAAACTGGTGCATCTCCAACATGTAACTGTGTTTGAGGCTTGGGAGCTTCAAGGAAATTCTCCTAGAAACTAAGTACTTTACCTCAAGTCTTACTCTTATTTTCTTTCCTAAAGATAAATTGACTTGGTAGAACATAACAATCTTTTAAGTACTTTAACTGAGAATTTGAGCAACAGTGGTGGGGGATGTAAATTAACCTTTGCACAAATTTAGCAACATATGTGGATATCACAAATACATGACATGAATCTTTACCCAAACCTACTGTAATGCAAGTACATTAGTAGCAAAGTACTGCATATACCTGCAGATTTAATTTTAAATTCAAGCCTTCAAACCCTAATTTTCCAGCAGATTTTGTGGTTTATCCTCAATGCTTGGCTAGGTACTTGATCTTGTATTTCTTAACTAGTGCTAACAATAATGATTAACGTCGAGACATTCCTGTTATCAACACTGTAGGGTCAGAGCCCAGAACATTTCGATTTAATGCAGGAAAAGAACTCACACGTGGTACATAATTAATTACACATCAGAGACTGCAGTCACTGATAAACTATTCAAACCTGACTACAGAAACTTTCAAAGATAAAATGCCAGAACATGGTTAGCAGCTTGTATTTCTTCCACATTTTACCTTCAGCTTCTGATTTAGTTGATGAAGCTCCTCCTGGAGAACTCTGTTTTCTTCTTGAGCCTCATACAACTTTTTTTTCTTTGCATGTAGCTCTCGTTGAAAACTGCTACTGCTTAACTCAAGATTTCTTTCCAGATCCTTCAATTAAAACAGAATAATATTTTTTAATAACTCAAGTACTTTTTATAGTCCAGTTACGTAAAATTACAATAAACCAGTGTCTGGGATTCAGATACCAGCTCCACCATTGCTGTAACACCGAATACATTTAAACCCTTAATCCTAACTTTGAGGGGCAGACAGAGCACCTGCAGGTGCTGCAGTTCATCCTTCTGAGTACTGAGGGGTGATTTGAGGACATAATGGGAACTCACACTACTTTCTGCAAGGCTCTTTCACAGTGGACCTCCAGTTCTCTAAGCCAAATCTCCAACCGACGAGTAAGAGACAGAAAACCTCCCTAAAAGTGCAGGATTAGAAGGAAGAAGACAAGAAAGAATTTTTAACCTTTCCACTAGAAACTGGCTTATGGTTATGATTTCATTTACATACTCTCATCTTGCAATAGCCATTTTAAGTGTTGAAAGAAGGAAAAAAAAAAGTAGAAGAAAATCCCTTACTTTTTAGCACATGATTAATTTTAACATTATCCAGTACTACAAATGCTGAAATACCTGATCATAAAACCACAGATGACAGATGGTGACACTACAGGGTGAGGTGATTTGGCTAACTCAGCCGTTTATATCTGGTACTTTGAGATTTTTTTTTACATAAGTTTAGTTTCCAGCTTAATCCTCTGGATTTCCAGATCTATTATCTCTGTAAAGTAATTTAGGTTTAATTGCTAATATAGACACCAAACTTTAACACCATTTTAATGACCAATGTAAATTTTATACTTCTTTTGTAGCTGAAATTATGTACTATATATGAAATACATCCACTATAAAAACAGTACAACTACAAATATAGTGTTAATAGTGTTAACACAATTTTTCAGTAAGATGAGTTTTATTTATGGTGTAGACATGTTTACAAAAATGTAAACATTTTTGCTGGACAAAATTAAAATATATTAGACAAATTTCTTAAAATGTAAACCCATTAAATGTACTAAAGATCATTTCAGTATTGAAAAAAAATGCTGTAATTTTAGTTGCCTGAGCTCTCAGCTGTGCATAATAGTGGACAATCAAATACTGCATGAATGCTGCTCAAAAAATTGAAAAATGACTACATAGATTTATTTTTTTTATTAGGACTTTAATATACAGGTCCCTAAATATCCAGAAAAGTTTTAACAAATGCTTTCCCCTCCAAGAGGATCAATTAGATTGCATAAAGTTGTATTATAGCTACAGGCACTTCTGAAACATTATTACGAGTTATAAAAACACTTAAAAGGACAAATCCACAGGATACATTGACAAAATATACTTAATTTGTAGAGAGAAATTTGAATGCACAACTACCAAGTACGTAACTAAATATAATGATATATAGGAAATAACTTACTTGACGATACTTACATGTTAAAGAAAAAAAAAAGAACCAACCCTGATTTTCTAAATGCTCCACAACTGTGAAAAATTACAGTTTATTATGGTAAGAAATATCTGTACCAGAATTTCTTGCAAAAAGAAAGTCATCTCACCTTAACTCTTTTTTCCCTGTCCTCTAGCCTGCTCTCTGCAAGGGCTAGTTTCTTTGCCAGGTCGTGTCTCTCAGCAAGGTTCTTGTCTGCAGAGAGCTTTTTCAGCTTCTGCAGGACAGTTTTGGTTCTGTACAGTTCATCTTCCGAGTCCTTCAGCCTCCTCTCGGCCGCGCGTTCTCTCTCCTGCGATTTTCGCAGACGCTCCCTTAATATTCTAATCTCATTGTTGTGCCGAGAAAGGAGCTGAGAGATTTCATTTTCTGTGTCTTCAAACTTATTCAAGGCTTTCTCCTGCCTGTGCTGAAGACTCTTCAGCACCCTGTTTTCCTTCTGCAGCTCGTCTAGTTTGATGTGGAGTTCAGTCAGTTCATTTCGGAGCTCATTGATTTTCAGCAGCCTAGCAGAAAGAACTCTTTTTGTAACAAGATCTATATCTTTTGCTGGAGAATCCCTGGTGAGGCTCTGAGAACGGACACCCCACCGTGTCCCTCTTTTGCTTGGTGCATATTTGGAATCCAATTTCTTTGTGGCTAAGAGAAGGAAAATAAAAAGCATGTTTACTATTAGACAACGCAGTTTGTCTATTCAGATGTCTTTCTTGGAACCAAGCTCTGCCTGAAACAATTTTACAATACTTAGCAGAGATGGCAGCTTTCAAACCAGACAATAAAAGGCATATGTATGACAGACTTATGCCCCTTTTGGTAGCTGAAAAATGGAGATTTATGTCTGTGATCTACTGTAAGAGGTAATATTTTCAGCCATTAATATAGGACCATTGTAATCATCTGCAAATCATACCAGAAATAACAGTCATATTTTGTTGATATTTGATATTGTTTATTAAAATGGTTTAGAAATACCACACTCCTATGCACACAATATTATCAAATGCCTTTAAAATGGCAACAATTAGCTGAGCATTAGCTAGTTATGTATTATGCAAGACGTAATTCTCCCGGACAAATGCAGTAGTGTTTTCAAACCCAGCTGCCATGCTTACAGACAAAACAGCACATTTCAAACACTCAATACAAAAAGCCTCCAAAGCAAAATTATAAAGCCCATGAAAATTCAGTTCTCCCCTGAATAATTTATTCCTATATCACAAGTTATTTTCTACACAGTATTCTTATTTGGTTACTTGCATGCACTGCTTGCATTCCTAGCTGGTATTATTTTATTGCCATCCCTATACATGAAAGCTAAGCATTTTGTTTCTTATTTGCCTCCCAAGCCATGCTCAGAAAATGAAGCTTATAATCCACCAAAAGTATCTCTTAAGACAACAGAATTAATAAATAGAGAGTACATAATTCATTAAGGCACATCAGTGTTGGAAAGAAACATTCTGAGCAGCAGTTTAGAATTCCAGCTCGAGAGCTGGGAGGCAGCAACAGTGCAGTTACCTACACACCAGACAGTGAGTGTGTGTGACAGCAAATCCTTCCTTCCTTTTGGCACTCACCATGTTTCTATTCTACAGAGAACACTCTACAGCAAAAAATAACAGCTTAAAAATATCTTCTTATACTTCCCCATAAACATTTTGCACAAATTTTCAGTCATTTTCTGCTTAATGCTCATTTTTTCCACAGCTTGGGCAAACAAAAGGAGGTGTGTTTTTTGCCTTTACAAAGAACACTTATGTCACATTCAGGTGTGAAAAGATTATCTAATACATGCACTGCAGGAATGATGCCACTCCTATCATCAACTAGGGGAATTCCCATTAACCCTAGACTTCCTGCACCTTCAAGAATTCCTCCAGTATTTAGGGCAGAACATAAAATTCTATTACAAATATTGTATTTTTGATCATATAATTAAATTGGGGAATAATGTCTTTCAAGACAACATGACATTCAGAATACCTCCATCTAACAATTATGTTCAATTCTGGCTATGTAATCAAAGAACTCATCCTTCATTTGCCCCCTCCAACTATTGACTATTCCCCTCCAGCACAGTGGAAATGCAGTTTTTGTTTCCTACACAGCTAATCCATGCCTGCTATACAGAAATGCCAGCTGTGAACACAGAGAAACTCAGCAAAACAAGTTGCACCAAGATACCCAAGGATCTGAAGAGATACACTCCCTGGGCAAATTCAACACTTAAGGTCAGACCTTCTGGCACACTCTAGATCACAATGTTGACCATGGGATGCATAAAGCATCAAGCACTTACGAATGAACCAGAGCAGCTGCTCAAGAGAGACAGGACATGCTCTGACTTCACCAGGAATTATACAGTTATTTAGAACAAGCTGTCAAAGTGTGGCAGAAAGTCTTCACATCCCTACTTCAGCCCAGGACCTGCAGAACCATTCCTCCCTTTTTTGCAGGGATGTTCACCGTCCCACAAAGTCTCAATTGAGAGCTCTCAAACTGGACCTATGTCATCTCAGACTGGAAATATTTAACACTCAGGGAAGGAATAGGAAAAACTCTGAGTTTCTACCTGAACCTAACTATCACCAAACACATTTTCTCTCTCTTGCCACATTGGTGGTCTTTGTCCAAAGTCACAGTATTGCACTGTAAAGTGTAGTCAACTAGACTTCCATGAAACATATCTTTTGGGTTATTTGGTCAGAGAAGTTTTAAAAACTATCTCTCTTTTACAGACTGCATAGGAAGGACTTGCCTTGGGTCTTTGGCCTTGACTCTTTTGTCAAAAAAAGAGAGCATCAGCATGATTCAACAAAAGGCTAGTGTAAGAGCCAGAGTCACTAGCTCTGACAAGCACCAAAGCTCCTTATGAAGGAACAGCTACAATCCACCTGCAATCTGTAGCATAATTCACATAAACCTTATTTGTGGATCCTCTTAATGTTAGTTTCACACTTTTATTTCAGTTTTCAAAGATAATTAACCCTTTGGAGCAGTTGCAAAGCAGGAATTTCTGCTATCTACTTACCTTGGTAGTGCACAAGGCTGTTGGAAGTCTGTGTTTTGTGATGTCTTCTTTCTTGCTTTGTAGATACAGAGCTCAGTGTTGGTGACTGGCTGGATGAGTGAGATGCATTACCTTCATCTGAATAATAGGAGTCACTATTTCTATCCCCATCTGATTCCCTCTCGTGTTCAGAGTCCAGGCTCCTTACTCTTTCTCCCATTTTTCAGATTTAACAGCTATCCAGATTGTTCTCAAAGACTGCTCATTTTGGCACAAAGGATCTTTCAGTTGTCACAATGGCAACAGCTGGATTATTTCCTTGAGTTTATCATCTCCATCTCCAAAGCACGAGATCTTTCTAGTTCAGTTCAGCAAGCAGTAGTTATTGTTCAGAATGCATTTTTCTGTAACAGTTTAGAGGGAGAGAAAAAAAACAGTAGGCATGGGTTGGCTGTTAAGTTAAGGAAGGAAAAAGCCTGTGAAATTATTCAGGATTCCTATAACCTTATGCCACCTGTTATGCTACCTATTCTTTATATTAATAATTATATTTATACTAATTACTGCCATATTATTTATATGAAATGTGACAGACATAACTCTAGGAATGCTACTGGTATTACTCTCACTACGCTGAGGCACTTCAATCCCAAAAGAGAAATCAGAAAATTAACACAGCTACATCTAGAGTAAGAAACTACTCCCATGTTACAGAGGGGTAAAGAAGCATTCGGAAAACAAAACAAGAACACAAGTGAAAGCTGATGCTATTCAGGAAAATAATTTAGACATGTTTTAAAACTTTCCAATCAAATGAATGAACAATTTATTCATGTGACTAGAATTGAGAGATTTATAGAAGTTGACTAAATCTTCCATTTCTCAATTTCTGGCACTTCAGTGATGTTAAATAATGGGTCTGAAAATCACCTGCCCCATTTGTCTGGAGGGCATTCTGTCCCTACCTGCTAATGAGGCTGTACCTACACATGACAATCTTTGCCCTGAAAGTACTCTCATACCCTACAACATCTAGTGCTTCATGCCTACAAGAACTGGCCAGAGCGCACACACTTGTGTCAGGTACTTTACATTAGATATGTTTTTATATCTGATTAGAGACCACACTGCCATTATAGTGCAGCAGGCATAAAGTGAGAAGGGCCACACCTGCAGACTCTCTTTTGATGTGAACTGAAAAATCACATCATCTCAAAATGGAATCGCCTCATTTTGTAATTTTGGAGACACTTCCTGAGAATACAATGGAGCAAATATATTCAAAATTTTCCTCACCGTCTCAGTCAAAAGAATTTTCTCAACAGTTTAGGAAGTGTTTCACTGACTATGCTCAGGCTCCCATGTCTTCTTTCTCTCTCTCACCACTATCTGCAGCTCTCAAGCTTATTTCACCACTTCTTTCTTTTCAATCCACCTTCCAGACATCAAGCCTCTAATGGGTGAATAAATAGGACTTGCATCAGAGCCCATCAGTTCCACCTGTTGAATGACATAAGCTCCTGGCCCATTTCTATATGGCAAAGCAAATTACACAAAAAAAAAATTGAGCAGCTTTCAATCAAAACTACTCTATGCTGCAGGACATTCCACATACCTGTAAACGAGCTGTAAATTTTTCACTGCATTATTTCCCAATAAAATAAACTTGGCCTCTTTCTCAGCCTTCACTGCCTATACATGCAGAATTGCATAGCCAAGCAGAACAGAAATGTCAGCTGCCAAGACAGTTTTCATTACAAATTCAAGCTTTCTGGCGCAGTTCATTGTTAGCACAACTCTGTCTCCAGTGACGGAATCCATTTGCCCTCATAATCTGTACAGAAGGAATTAGAGGAATAAGAATCCCAACAGGGTTCTAAACTGGCAGGTTGCTGGGAAATTAGTTTAAGGAGAGACTGGACGTAGCACTTAGTGCCATGGTCTAGTTGACATGGTGGAGTTAGGTCACAGGTTGGACTTGATCTCAGAGATCTTTTCCAACCTGATTGATTCTGTGATTCTGTAATTAACACTGAATTACTGGGAAAAGTATATTTTTCTTTATTTATGGAGTAACTTTCCAAAATAATGTTTATAAGCAACTCAGTATTTTCTAAGTGGTCCAAATAGATGACATGACTAAAACTTATGCCAAATCATTCAGATGAAAACCAAAATGCCATTTCAAAGCCCAGAAAGAAGTCAAGCTATGCTTGAGATCACTTGTCCTAGAGATTGCTAAAGATATGCTGGAGGATATCAGTCACTATGAACATTCAAGTGATCAATAATGACTGTTCTTTTTCGATCCAAAATAACGGAGTTTTAAAAATTATTTCAAAAGGATATACCCTATCATAACTGCAACTGAGATCATCTAAGAATATCAGAGCATATCAGGGTGCTCCCCTATTCCCAAACAGCTGCACTCCTAAGCCCTGGCCCCACAAACACCTGTGCAGAAGGTGTGTTATTTTGCTCCTTGAAGAGCACACCAAGCCAAAACTGAAACACAGTCAGAGATTTGGGAACAACCTCTTGGTTGCACCTTGGGTGCACAGGCAAGATAGCATCAGGGCTGTCTCCAGCAGACAGAATCTCAGAGAATGCAAAAAAATATAAACTAATATACTTAAAGTACTAAAATGAGATATAAAAATAGTACTCTGGGGGCTGCAACACAGACCTCATATTCTTACAGTCATCCTGACTGAAAAAACATCTGAAAACAGTAGCTGCATTTGTAACCCATATGAAGTGAGGTGTGGTCACTGAAGCCACAGGCTTCATTTCCAGCTAACAACCACAAAACTTGTCAGATTTTGTCTGAACTCATCTCAGGTGCCTGGAGCTCTGCTATAGTTTCTTTAGCTGCAACAGAATTGGTTAACAACCACTGAACTTCTCTAATTTGTTTCAGCTTTATACTAACAGACAGCAATAACAAGTAGTTATTCGGTGCAGAGTGAACCATCTACAACCCCTGCAAAAACAGAGGACAGGGGAGTACAGGCATGAGGTGATTGTAGAGGCCTGAAAGCACAAATACAGTACCATGCTGGGCCCCTAAGCTGTGACATCTCACCTGGGCTCAATTCTGGACATCAGGCAGTCTTGGGAGCTGGATAAAACCTGGCAACACAGGGAACAAAGAACAAGTACTCAATATGTGTAACATGTGTAGTAAATTCAGATGCAATGTGGAACCATGAATCAGTGACCAGAATAGAACAGAATAAAGAGTAAAGTGCACAGTGTGCTAACAAGTATAGAAAAATGATCCCAAATGGACCCAAGGCAAGGAAGAAGAAACTACTAGCATCTTCCTCCTGCCAGGGAAGGATCTGGGATGCTGAAGACTTGCTGTAAAGACCTTCTCCTCCCAGTTGAAGCCAGTCAAGTCTCAGGTCGGGCAGTAGGTTTGGTACTAGAGTTTGTGTCTATATCCCTGTAATCATACATAGCTTGATCTGTGTTAGTATCTGCACTAATACTAAATCTCTGATTAGACCAGAAAGATTTTACTTAGACTAACAATCATTTGTTGGCTCAGCATCTGTGTTCCCTGTTTTGCTGATAACATGCTGCATAGAGCAAACTGGCAGGAATTCAAGCAACCTAATCTGTTACTTGGACACAAGACTCTTCCATGGCCACAAGGGCACATGCGGCACCCAGAAGGGTCCTGGACTTCTGGAGTTGGCACATCAGTGTTAGAGGCACCACCACAACCAGAGGTGTTGGCCTAGCCCTGTGTGGGGGCAGGGATTACTCTACGGGGCCTTCAGCAGTGTAGGTATAGTCAAGATAACTCCAAATTTTGTCTGCCTTCAGGACACAGAAAGATAAAAAAAAAAAAAAAAAAAAAATCGCACAGACTTTTTCTTGAGAAGAAAAGGAATAGGGTGGCATTTAGAGAAAGCATAAATGCCTACAGTTCAATCATCAAGACATCTAATTATATATATAAAACAAGAACACTCACTTTCATGTACCAACTTAAAGCTGATCAGCTATTTTATAGTCCCACAAGAGTACACTGAAGAGGCAATAATCTCTTTGAAGAATCCTTTTCATAACTCAGCGTATTTAAAACAAACAAATTGGAAGAACTGGAGGAATAGAATTATCCACCACTTCTGTACTGGATATTCCCCACTTCTGAGAATATTTCATCAATTATCATTTTGACATACAGCAACAGAAATGAACAGAAGTCTTTGATGCATTCTGGAAACACTTTGAAAAACAATGGACTGAAAACAAGTTGAAAAAGGTGAACCAATGCAAGTTCCCTTGAGGAATTGCCAAAAACATCTTTTGAATCTTCAAATGGTTTTCAGTTTTATAAACTGGTAATACTATCATATTTACCATACAAAACAAGAAACCTTAATCTGTCAAGTCTTGCCAAATTCATTTTTCCACCAGTTTATAATATAATTCAATTAACAAAAGAATGCACAGTTTATCTTGAGAACAAAAGAATCACTAGGATATTTGAGTTTTACTTCAGTGAGCCTAAGGACTGCCTAATTAAGAAATGTTTTGGTTCCCTGACTTTTCAATTGTTACCAACTAGTCTGAGTTGATTATAAAGTAAGCTCAACTCATGTGAATAAGATCCACAAAGATATCGATTTTCCCTTTGTGAATTTAATAAGTTTGTGAGAAGTGAAACACTGTGGGTTAGTCTACTAAGCTCCACCACCACAACCCCAGTTCCCTCCCCTCAGAAGCTCCATGTATGCTGTTAGAAGCCTAATGCATCAAGATCAGATCAGTACAGAAAATCTGCAGAAAATATGGGACTTGCACAAAATTTAGAGAGAGTTTTGTTTCCAGAATTTCATACTCCATCCTTCAGCAACTTCTATCTGTTGCTATTATTTACATGGTCATTATTCCACAAAAAAAAGTCTAGCACCAGGTCTCTGCATGACAGACAAAACAGAGGACACAAAATAACTGCAATGGTGACAGGAAATTATGTCCCTGTTACTCCTAAATAAGTTACAGAAACAGAAATTGAACTACTGGATTACAGGTATTAAGCAATAGACAGAAAGGAGAATTACTCAGTAATTCTTCTCTCGCAGTACACCCAGAGCTTAGTTCTGTGAAGACTCATAAAACCTTTTATGTCCTTTTCCATATGAACAGCCCTCCAAGACCAGGGGAAGCTCGACGCTCTCGCAGGTCATGGAGTGACACTTCCCAAGCACAAGCACTGACCTCTAACGGCCCTTTCGGCTCCTCCAGCTGCTCTGACAGCCGAGGGGACAATGCAACCAAGGCAGCAACAGTGTCAATCCAAGCCGTGAAAGTGCTGAACTTAAGAGCAAAGAATAACTTCAGAAGAAA